GTCTCTTGGCTCTTGCCCTGGACTCTTCCTTAGCCTGGTTGCCAATCTGTTGCTTCATACATGCTTCAACCTATCTTCTGAGACCTGACCTGGATCCTGCCTCAGCCTCATCTCCGTTTTCTAGTTTCTGTCTTAGCTTTGTTTCTACCCCTATTCTGTTTCTGCCTGGTATCCTAGACTTCCTTTGTTCTAATATCTGGCTCTGTCTTGACTACAGTTTTGGGTCTTGGCCCCAGGCTGGTCTTTGCCTGATTCCTGGCTCCTTGGTACAACTTCTGATGCTGATCTGGCTTCATCTGCTGACTCAAATGCTTGCTCTGGTCCACCGGATCACATATGCTTTGGTTGTTTTTAACATATAAACAGTGTTTCATACATAGACAATAGGCCAAATCTTTGCTTCAGTCTAAGTCCCTTTATTCCACACTGGCACTTTCCCTGTCTTACAGAAATCTCCTAATTGCAGTGGTTCTCAACCTTTTTTAGATTCAGCACAGCCCTCCAAAAAAATTCTGAATTTGGCAACATCCCCAGTTGAGAACCACTGATGCACTACCTCTGCTTACCTCCTGCCTATATTAGGGTTGTGTGATAAACATAAAGCAAGCAGGAGCAGAGGCCTAACTAATGAGTTTTGCACTCTGGGCAGATCTTTCCTGTGCCCCTGAGGGGTGGGAGCGTGCTCTGAGTGCTGGAAAGCAATGGGTGAGGAGGAAGGAGGGTGGGTGTCCCCACACCTAGATACTCTGATTTGCTCAGCCCACCCTGTCTCCTTCAGCCAGGCAGTAGAAGAGGCAGCTCCAACCCAGCCTGGCTTCCCCAGCCAGCCATTGCACAGGGTTGTGGCTGGACTCTGCAGTTTTGATGCAGCCCTTCCTGATCCAACCCTGAATGTCCTGCTGGAAACATAAGGGCATAGGACAGTTCCACCTGGCTGCTGTGTCGTGTGCTTCAGCACCACTGGAAGGGTCTTTCAGCACCCCAGTGTGCTCAGCACCCAGGCTGAGAGAACTGTTGTCCTAATAGCATAAAGCTGCTTTTCAACCGCTCTGCGTAAGGGTCCTTCTGGGACAGCAGGAATCAAGGGTGTACCATGAAAAAAATGTATTGAGCTCCTAGGAGACCATTGGACTGCTCCAGCCAGCAAAACTTAGAGAAGTTGCATGGTTGCTATAGCTTATCCTGGGGGTTAGTTAGGCCTCTGCTTACTTCCCTGTGTTAGGAGAGGCAGCAAATTTGATTTCAGCTACTTTTCACCCACCACCACAAATGTACTGACTACAAATTAGTTGCACCTTAGTTTCTTTACTAGTTTTGCTTATTTTTGCACATTCCAGATTTATATCCCATCAGTCCACATTAGAGCACAGCTGATTGTCCAAACCTACACCGTGTTTGGGCAGTTGAGCAGTACATGTCAACGCACCTAAACAGCAAAGGTGGGAACTAATCACTTTGAAGGGTTACGTGGATAAAAGAGGGAAGAAAAAGAGAGTCAAGAACAAGAGAAGCCAGTTTGCCCTCCAAGTCAGCTTTTTACATAGTAACACATGCATCTGTGCCTATCAGCCAAGCACAGAAGCAGATATGTAATACATACTGTTCAGTAGCTTACAAATGTCCTCTGGAAGAGGGTAGCATCCGATGGCTACTATAGCTCAAATACCAAAATGCCTTCCAGCCAGGAGAGGCAGGGAGAGGGAGGGGAGTGTTCAATAGAGGAGGCCTTTGTTGGCAGTAATGAGGAACATTGATGGTTTGAAATCATCCCATCCCTCAAAAATCTAAGCCTGCCCCTCCAGAAGCAGATGGTAGTCCAGCAATTGCCTTCAGCTTCCCTGAAATTACAATATATATGCTAACAGCCACTGAATACACCCAAGTTAGATGTTTATAATGGAAAAATGAATGGAAAGTGGCTGCCTTGGCTTCTGGAAGGAAGGAGAAAAATAGTCCTGGAAATCAAAGGAAGTAAAATTAAAAAAATTAGCTGAAAAAACCCCACAGTCTGTCAACACAGTCAAAATAGTGTTTTGTCCATGTCCGTATTTTTCAAAAATACACTTCTACCTTCCTCTGTGACTGAATGCGTGTAAAAGCAAGGGTTTTTGTGTGTGTATGGGTACGCTATATAATTGGTTTGTTGAGAGGGGTTTTGGCTTCTCATGTAAGCAGAACCAACTGGAGCAGTCCATGGTCTGAAGCAAACAAAAGTTAGTGGTGCCTGGCAAACATGCGTTGCACAGGGCTTGGCAAATAATTCTTTGGGTCAGCGGCCAAATAAAATGAATTAAATGAAGTCAAATAGGTTTGGATTGTTCTTTTTATCCTGGTGAAAATAAATTAGAAACAAATTGATACTTCATGGAACAAAATATTCATTGAGTAAAAGAGGAAGGGAGTTGTTAGTGGGTATGTTGGTCACCTGGGAGATAGGGTGTCTGAGTGGCAGCCAGTGCTCTAATGTATATTTAAGTATTTTATTTAAAGAAAAGCAGTGTCAACAAGAGCATCTGAGGACACATCTGTCCCAGGATAACCCTTAGCACAGTGGTTAGAGCATTTTCCTGGGGGGTAGGTAATATGGATTCATGTTCATATATATACCCAAGTCCCTGACTTCCTGGGTGAGTGATATAATGACTGTCTGTTGGATTAACTGGGGAACCTGTTCCTCAGCTTTCCAAATATACCCCTAGGCAAAGATTGCTTCTTCTGTCAGACTCCTCACAAAATGGGCCAGGTCCTTTCAGGTTGATCAACACTGCCATTTCTGATGAATAAACTGTTCACCCAGCCAGTGCTGGGGAAAGCAGAGTCTCATTATTAGTTTTCACCATGCCACAAAGCCTAGAAACTTTAAGGAAAGTGCTTTTGTATGTAGAGGAAGCAGGGCTTTTAATGGCATAAAGTTACCCCCTCCAAAGTGGGTACCTTGTGAAGGAGAGCAGGGAGGGGCTACATGGCTATTAAAATTGAAGAATGCACTGGATTAGCACATGCTTGACATGGCTTATATGACGTATACCTTCATATACCTTATATGAAGCGTATCTTATATGAAGGGTACCTTGGACGTGCTGCCTCCTAGCAAGAATATCACGGGATGATTGTTGCTGAAACACCCCTCCGGGCTCAGCCAGGAAGGGTGAGATACAGTCATGCCCACGGCATATTTTCTCTTAAAACAGGAAAGATACCGAAAACTTCTTTTCCCTGCAACAAAGGTTTGAATAGATGCTTCCGGTTCCCTTGGCAACTGTGCTAAACAGCAGAATAAATAATAGCAATGATTTCCTCTATCAGTGGCTTTCTTCTGACACAAGTAGGCTCAGCAGCAGTCTCAGCAGCTTTTAAAGGGAAATAGCTTTGTGTACAAACCATAAAATTACTTTTTGTATGTCCCTCTCACCCCCACCTCACTGCTTCCAGTTGATCAGAGCCATGCATTAGCTTGCAACCACAGAGCGGCATTGCCTTATTCTGTTGTTCTTCCACATGGTACATGCTCACAAGATAGAAATGCAGGATCTGAGACTTTGATATGTATATTCTATTTTTTCACGTTTTTAGGGGTGGAAGGCTTAGGGGAGAGAGAGTTTCTTATGAGGTTTCCTGTGCATGATGACTGCTTTGTATGTCATCTTCCTTTCTCAGAATATTTTAATAGACCCCTCCAAAGGCAGAAGTCAAAGGTCACTTGGTTATTGACTTGCACTTGCTTACACCATCTTCAAGGCCTCCTCCCTGCCTTTTTCCAGGCCTGTGGAAAGCACAGGCCATGCTTTTCCCTGGTTTGGAAGACTACAATCAGAGCTCTTTACATAGGTATGTGAGTAGGTAGGATGCCATTGGCTGCTTCCACACATGCGTGGACATTTGGTTCCCCAGAGACAACTAGCAGCGGTGCACCTTGTGCCATCACTAGTTGTCCCGAGGGAATGCTTGTGCCACATGCCCTCTGGCATGCAGCAGGTTACCCCGGGTAGGGTAAGGCAGGCTGGGGCCAGCAGCTTTACCTGGGGTTCTAAGGTACTCCTGGGGCTGCAGCAGAAGTGATCCTGCCACGCAGAGCCTGGCTGGCAGCCAGAGTGTGTCTCTGGCCAGCTAGGCTCCGGTTTTGAGTGGGACACACTGCCCCTGTATGCGCCACTCTGCTTTTTTTTTGCAGGGCTTTTTCATCCCTGGATATCCAGGAGCCAAAAAAAACCCCCCTGTGCTGCTCCCTTGCAGCATAGAGAACAACTGAACATGCGGTATGTGGTGCCGCAGACATGTCTGTGGCGCCACATACTACATGGCCATGCTCGTCTGGACATGGCCATTGAGTCCCAGCAAAAGGCCAACCACAAGGAGGCCCAAATAATTTTATCTACTCCAATAAAACAGTCTACTTTGCATGAGAGCAAAAATTAGCAATGCTATCTTCATAGAAAAGTTCTGTAGAATATAATAGGGATACTGGAAAGTACCACATAGAAACAAGGTTATATAAATTCTGATCTGGTTCACTTGTGTGTTCCAAAGAGATAAGTAGTTTGCTATTGCTCCATGTCATTATCATTTTTTTATTCCTTTGTGCTAGTTTAATTCCATTGGCTAAACTGAATGCTGGGTTCCACCCCATTTATAAAGCTATATGGGTCTGGGGTTAGCAGCCCACTGTGAAAGTTACTGTGGATAACCTATATCAGAGAATAAGGAGCTATTTTGTGCCCTTTTATGCTTCTGCAAAGAACCACAGAGGAACTTGTTTTTAGGGAGGACACAATCATACAACCAATCTCCAAATTATTAAAAATGTGATGATGAATTTATTTATTTTTTGAAGGAAGATGCATGCTTTAAACGGATCTGTTATTCAAGAGAATTTATTATCCTGAAAAGGCAGTGACCTTGTAGACAGTAGGAAGGAAATCAAAGGAAACACGGTAGCAACCTGTTTATAAAAGAGAACAAAAAACGCTGTTTCTTTACTTTATTTTTTTTCCATTTCACAGAATGATTCAATCCCCCAAGAAGACTTCACACCAGAAGTATACAGAATATTCCTAAACAACCTTTGCCCTCGGCCTGAAATTGACCACATCTTCTCTGAGTTGTAAGAAAAGACACAAATTTATTGTTTTTCCTTCACTGACTTTCTGTCTGCAACTGATGGCAAAGTAGGTTAATTGGCCTACAGCATCACAAAGTGATTGCCAAGAACAGATTCCCATGTCAGCCAGGACTCCTGTTTAACCTAGGATGTGAATGTAGATACACTGTTCCTCTCTCAAAGCTCTAGCAGTCATTTGGAATGGGCAAACTTTCACGGTAGCTTATTTCTACAGGAACAGACTGGCCAGGCCTTGTTTTTAAGTGTGGATGATGCTAGTTTAGGCTACAGTGAAAGTAAAGTGATAAAAATGAGAATATACATTTGAGACAGGCTCATTTAAACCACAAGGGGTGCATCCAGATGTGTGTGGACATTTGGTTCCTTGGGGACAAGTAGCAGCGGTGCACCTTGCACCACAGCTACTTGTCCCCAGGGAATGCCAGTGCCAGGCACGATTTGGTGTGTGGCAAGTTACCCCCGGGGATAGTAGGGGAGGCTGGGGCCAGCACTGTGCTAGCCCCAGCAGCCTTACCTGGGGAACTTCTGGGGCTGCAGCCATAGCAATCCTTCAGGCAGAACCTGGCCAGCATCTGCAGCACGGCTGTAGGCAACCCGGCTCTGCTTTCCAGCAGCACATGCTGCCTGAGTGTGCACTGCTTCATTTTTTTTCCTCGTTTTTTTTTACCCCTGGGTCCAGGGGTCAAAAAAGCCTGCAGAAAAAAAACTGGAGCAGCCGATACCTGGGCAGCACATTCTTGCAGCACGGAGAACACTGGACTGTGCAGTCTGTGGCACTGCAAACACGTTTGCAGTGCCACATACCACATGACCATGCTCATCTGGACATGCCCAAGAAGACCAACTGAGAGCTGCAAAAAGAAAAGAGTGGTGATGAGGATTCATTCATGATGCAATTAGAACTCATATGTAGCAGCATTGTGTAAATGAAATTACCAGTCATCTTTGCTTCAGTCAGTTTCATGTTTTTAGTTTCTTAAACACCTGAAACTGTAAAGCTTTAGTTGTTTGGGTTCATGACCCCTTTTCTCTGGTATTTGATCAGTACAAGTAGATCATTTTCTATTTCTTTCACCAATATCAGACCTTTCAGCTATAAAATACTTGCTTTGATTTCATGGATGCTACTATTTACATATTTGTCTGCCACAAGTTATTGATAATGGCTTCTAGAGCAACCTGCTTTGTACCAGTGTGAGAGCCAAACACAAAACTGAACTAAGTGGGTTTCACTTAGTTATACCTGCTTTCTCCAGAGCTGAATTTGGCCCCTCGTGAGCAAACAGGTAATGACAAGTAGTGGCTACTCTTCCTAAGTACACTTCCTAATTTCTCAGCCCCATTATAGCTTCTTCATTATTACCAGGGGAATCAGAAAATGGGACAAGATGAATGGACAGTTGTGCCTGTCCAGCATCTTGACAGATGAAAGTTGTGGAAAAAGTCACTTAGTTAGTCAGTTGTGCTTGGTAGTGGTATGGGAGAAGAGCCCGGAGTGCAAGCAGCATAGGTTTCCGTAGTAACTACAGGTCATAGGCAACTGGTAGAGAGGATATGGGGGGGGCACGTGCCCCCCACATGACAGCACCATTCCTGCTATCAACACTGCTGGTGGCTTCTGTGGGTGCTCGCCAGCCCTGTCTCCACCACTGATGCTGCTGCCAGCTTCTGCAGGTGCTTGCCAACCCCGTCCCTGCCGCCAATGCCCCCACCAGCTTCTCAGACTCAGGAGGCACCAATTGCCCATGGTACAGGTCCACTCACTAGATGGTGGTTGAAACACATGCTGTTTCCTGGCTCACCTGTAGGCCTCAGCCTGGGCTTTCTGGTGGAGCCACTGTTGAACGCCTGAGTCCTTCCCCACCAGGACGAGTGACCATGTCAAGCACAGACCTTCGATATGTATGCCTAGGCAGAACAAAGAAGGAAGGAGTTGCCATGGGCCCTCCACCTTCTCTCTCAGCAGGATCTATAGAGTTCCAATGGCAAGACAAATGTCATGACAATTGGCAGAGACCTGCTGCAGCTTCAAGTCAGAGCAGCACTCTGAGTTGAAGGAAGTGTCTGTCCTATTGAGCTTGTAACTTTGCCTTTTCTGAATGGGTGGGGTCCCAGTAGCATGGGCACTGTTGGCCAACACGTTTCTGGTTCATCGGCTTTTCTGGGGACATTTCCTTCACCCAAGAGGTTCCACTACCCCACCCTTAGGCACTTCTCTGGGGCGTCCCAAAGAGAGACAGGTTTGTTAATCAGCACCTGTCACTCACCATTGCATCACTGGCTGCACCATCTACACATCCAGTGGCAAATCCTGGGGGGACTGGCCAGGCAAGTGACAGTACAGGAGATATTAATTCCCCTGAGCAGTGATGCTTCAAAGGCACAACCCAATAACTGTAAAAAAAAAAAAAAAAAAAAGGAAAATCTCAACCTGAGCCTAACTTTGCTCCATGTGGACTTACTGATTGCCTTCAGTAGAAGGAGATGCTAAATCCTTTTAAAACCCCCAATCCTACCTCTTTGCAGGCATACCTTGGTGCTCTATAAAGCCAAAGGACTCCACTGTTTTCCCACAAGGGGAACATCCAGAAAAGCACGCATGTGTGCTTTGCAGCACCTCAGAGGCTTTTGAGGTTCCACAAAAAGCATGTGGCACATGGGAAAAGTTTCTCCATGCTGTAGTGTGGAGCCAGAATTAGATACTGGGAAATCTTGGTATCTAAAAAAAAAAATTATCTTAAAAAAAACTGGAGCTTGGCTGGCCAGAGCCATGCTCTGGCTGCCAGCCTGGCTCTGTGTGCCGGGATTGCTGGTGCTGCAACCCCAGGAGGCTCCCATGACCCCAGGTAAGGCTGCTGGGGCTAACCCGGGTGCTGGCCCAGCCTCCCCTACCCGACCCGGGTTAATTTGCCATGTACCAGAGTGCGCATGCAGGTGTGTTCCTGCAGCACAGGTATGTGCCATTGCTATTTGGCCCTGCAGAAACACACATGCACACTGTCTGGGTGCACCCAGGGGTGCTAAACCCACAGAGAGCCTGTTTAGTATCGTGGCCTCAGATGGCAAGCTGTGTGGGCAGGGATCTTTTTGCATGTTTTGCAAAGTGCCTCACATTTTTTGAGGCTCTATAAAACAAGCAAGTAATAGGATAATAAAGTCAGGGTTGCTACTTTCTGGTAGTGATGCCTAATGGTTAGACCTGGAATGCCAGTGAAACTTTGAAAGACTCAGGATTTCATTTCCTTTTGTTTTCAACTAAAAAAAATCTCTGTTAACAGGTATCTGGGAATGGGATTTTCAGATGTTCTTGGCATTGTCCTTACTCTTCTCCCATTGATGTAAAAAATGCTGGGCACTTTTGAAATCTGACTCCTACATGTTTAATGAAGCGTATCTGCCATACCTACTGGTAACATAAATTAGTTTAGAGTATTATTGTGCAACAGTTGGAATCTTGTTTCCATTTTCATGAGAAATTACAGAACATTTCACAAAAATGCAAGGAAAAATAATCTAATTACTCAGTGTTGCTGTTGTCTTTTTTTTTTTTCCTCAACTTAATTTTTCCCTAGTGGTGCCAAGAGCAGACCATACCTTACTGTTGATCAGATGATGGATTTCATAAATTTGAAGCAACGTGATCCACGGTTAAATGAAATCCTTTATCCACCGTTGAAACAGGAGCAAGTCCAGCAGTTGATTGAGAAATATGAACCCAATAATACTCTAGCAAAGAAAGGTCAGTAATTTTCATATTTTCACTATCCTCAGTTTCTGGTTTGAGACAATGAACACATTGTACTGGAGCAGCACAGTGAAGCAGACAGTGGTTAGGAATCAAATCATTTCCAACTAGCTGATTTTGGATTTTGCAGACTTACGAGACTTGATGTAGTTAATATTCAAATCAAATACATTTTGCTGGAACCAGCATGAGGGAGGCTGGACTGGTTTTTCTGTTTGCTTTTCAGTATGTATAATTGATAGTTCAGAGCAGTTGCTCTGACACGTAAATTTCAGCATAAGCTGCGCTATGACAATAACTATTTACTTGCTTCTGAAATGTTTATGAATACAAAACATTACAAAACAATCAGTGATATTGAATCTGAAAAAAAAAATTCTATCACTTGTTAATAGCAATAATAATATGAGCCCAGCCATCTATTTCTTGGTAAGGTAGCCATACAAAGAAAGCTTTTGGAATAGCTAAATGCCTTTCTTTGCCATAATTGCAAAAGAAAACTCTTTCAAAAATCGTGAACATTGTCCAGGCTTAGCTGGGCAATCAGCCAAAAACAGTGAGAAATCCTATTCAGACCCTCTGCAAATAGATTTTTTACTACTTCCCCAAATCTTAAAATAACACTGAATTTCCATGGTACCTCTTATTTCATTCTGATTCATATATTCTAATGACTACCCTGCTTTTTAAAGTGTTTATTCCTTGGAAATCCTAGGGGTGTGGGAATATCCTGAAACACAGATTGACATGAAAACATATTTCGATTCAGAGATATGGGACTCAGTTCAGGATGCTGAATACCTTGAGCTCCATTCCATCAGCAACATGAATGATCAGGTCCAAAATAACACCAGAGACAAAGTCCTTGGATTCTCAGTTAAATACTACTTGCAGAGCCTGATTCTCATGTACAATAAGGCCAGTACATTTGTGCCAATGTTAATGTCTGCTTATGTTGGCAGAGGGGTGTAAAGGGGCATTTATGTAAATATGAATCCTTCCCCATTGGTTTCAGTGAGAGTTTGATTAAATATGAGTTGCAGGTGTTGCCCCAAAATAAGTATAAAGAGCCTTTTGAGCTTGTAGTAAGTATCGCTGGCCCAGATAAGGGGCTAACTGTGTCTTGGGTCCCCTTGGGGTCTCTCTAAAGGCAGCCCTTCCTCAAATCTTGAGTTTCATGCTTTTATCAGTCTTAGGGTGGAGAGGTCTCATTCTTCCCCTCCTCCTCAGGAACCTGGGTATCTTGTACAATTGTAAATAGCAGTCTTTTATGCAGTGTTATTACCATGTATATATAGCCTGTGCCACACAATAGGGTAACATTGGACAACTGTAGATGATGCAACACCTTCCAGCTGAAATCAGGTTCTTATCCTAATTTCCTTGTTATTGTGTGTTCACTATACTGACTGTTTGAGAAAAAGGAAGGAAAGATTGTCAAAAAGAGTCAAATAAATCTTAATGGATGTATGTGAGATGAGCGCACAATCCGGTGCTGACGGAAAAACATTCTGTTTTGGTCTCATCGAACATTATTTCGTGAAAAAAATATGGTCAGAGACCCTAACAGGCAGTTTGTGCTCTGTTACACCAGTGTACCTCCGAAATAACTCCCTAGAAGTGTGCACTGATGTAGAAGAGAAGAAAATCCATTAAGCTAATGTGTAATTTATATAGTAGACCATAACAATTGCTTCAGAGCTCCTTTGCCTATCTTGCCAGTGGGAAATAGAGTACTCTGACATGTGTAATCTTCATGCTTACTTGTAGATGGGTTGTAGTAGAAATCTGCTCTCCCTAGCCATGCATATACCTCAGTAATGTGATAGGTACATAATGTATGGATAGGAAAATAGCCTTACTATTATTAAGGGATAGAAAGTTCATGCTAAAATTGTATCACAAAGAATCAGAGCCACAGATTAGTTATCCAAGGTGAGCCAATCAGTATTTGAACATGCTAGATTATGGGATGGATTGTGGCACATAGTCACTGCCTCTGGTAAGGGATGTTTGCAAATGCTGCACAATCTGGATGGTGAGAAACAGAAATGGCTGTGCATCAGAAGGCACATTCCCTCTGTGAGCTTTCTTCTCTGTACACTGTACCATCTCTCTAGCTAGTGCAGCACAGCTGCCTTCCCAGAGCTCTGTGGACCAATGCAGAGTTGGGGGCATGGTGCCATCCCCTTTCAACTGGTTTGCACCTTCTAGATGGGAGATATCTGATGAGCAGGTACTGTAAGCATTTGTAGCTCTTGTGCAGAAGGAAAAGAATCCTTGCACCTCAGTTCCTAGCAACACTGCTTGCTTCCTTCTGCCAGTCTTGCATCATTATGCTGTCTTTGCAGCTGGTGTTATGATCTGTACCTGCTCAACCTAAGGTCAGTTATCCCTTATCATTATTTCAGAAGGGTTCTCTGCTTTTTTCCCCTCTAAAGTTTGCTCAGTTTATTAGTCGTGTCCATTTTGTCTTTTCAAATCAAGTACTGAACAAGAGTCAAATCCTGCTGGTATCCCCTGCTTGTGGATGTAGCTTCTTTGATTTTAGTGGGAATATTAGCATAATACAAGGAAGATGTGGCCTTGTACTTCATCATTGTAAATATTAGAGTACTGCTCTGTGCTTACCATATTCCACATCAGCTTCAGAAAAGTCTAGAAAGATCATTCTTATTACTCAAATATTGGAACTTAAGGTAGACCAAATACAGGATTTTATTAGGATGAAGGTGTGCTAGCACAAATAAATCTAAAATCAAATTAAATTGTTGCAGCTAACAACATGGAGAAGGTGTGAAGCAAATCTCAGAAACTTCATTGCTAGCAAACAACATCATAATTTGTTCAGCCTTCAAAAGAGAAGGCTGAGGGGGGATCTTGTGGCCTGTTATAAACTGGTCAGGGGGGATCAGCAGGCGCTGGGGGAGTCCCTGTTCCCCCGAGCGCTGCAAGGAGTGACCAGGAACAATGGTCACAAGCTGGCGGAGGGAAGGTTTAAGTTGGACATCAGGAGGCGCTACTTCACGGTCAGGGTGGCTAGAGTCTGGAACCAGCTTCCAAGTGAGGTGGTGCAGGCTCCCACCCTGGGGGTTTTTAAGAGGAGGTTGGATGACCACCTTATTGGGGTCATTTGACCCCAGTGCTCTTCCTGCCATGGCAGGGGGTCGGACTAGATGATCTGCTCAGGTCCCTTCCGACCCTAGAAACTATGAAACTATGAAACTATAATGCGGATTGAACACTTGTCATCTTAGGGCAGTGCTTCTCAACCAGGATACCATGGCAATATGGAGCACCTTGAGATCATTTTAAGGGAACCCCAGGGTGCAACACAATATTAGTACTGTTAAATGTGCTAACATAATTCACAAGATAAATCCAGAGATTTCAAATAGGAATCCATAGTGTCGAAAACATTTTGACCCAATGTGAATTTTTCTAAGATTTTTGCAGCTGCTGAAATGCTCTTTTATTTTTTCATAGTCAAAATATGAGTGGAAACTAAGATCTGACATTTTTAAGAGGTGCCTTGGGTCTAACAAGGGGTGCCTTGAATTTAATGAAGGGTACCTTGAATCTAAAAGGGTTGAGAACCATTGTCTTTGAGGCCCTCCACTTGGATACTATTTATATTGTTCTTGCAAAATCAGATCTCAGTGCCTGATTTTTCAGTACTCACTCAGACTTGGGGTGTGCTTACAGATTACAGTTGGCACCTGCTAACTTTAAGGAATGTTAGGTCGCTGTTAAAGTGAGTTCCATGTGCTGGAACAGTGACACATTTGGGATTAATACTCTGTAACGTGCACAATTCTTGAGCTGGCTGGAGAGCAGGGGCATGGCTAGAAGCTGACAAGTCTGCTCTGTGTCTGCCCCATTTGCCAGCTCCCTAGCAGCAACATGCACAACCCCCAGTATAGACACGACATGCACAGCATACACCCCCAGCACAGCACAGCCTTTCAACCACTTGTACCCTAATTTTATGGCATCTGTGCAATATTTCTCTAATTTACTTGTGAAATTTATAAAACTGTCACATGGTAAAGCGTCAAAAAACTTACTAAGTCAAGGTATATCACACCTACTGCTTTTCCCTTAGTCACTAGGCCAAGTATCCTGTCAGAAAAGGGAAATTAGCTTGCCAGG